GCGATTATCATTTTAATAGCTGTTTCAGATTTGGTGTTTAAGATGGAGTAATACCTATAGGTACTAAATACTGTTAAACTACTATTAAAATAACTTATTATGAACTTTTTGTTATATTTTTAACTTTTAAGCTATTTTGACACATTACACGTCAAATATTTTTGATTGATATATTTATAAAAAATAAACTTAAATATTTCAGTGTCCTAACGTTGTGTCTATTTGAACCCAAACGTCTTGGTTTTTAGGTCAACTTGACAACGTGTCCAAACGTTTATTGCCCAAAATAATAAGGCCAATGGGGGGAGGGGGGCTTATATTATTTCAATTTAACTGATGAAAATTATATTGTAATGATTTGAATTTAATAATTATACACACATTTTACAATTTTTTTTTAAATTTAAAATTAAAAAAAAATATTGATTTAAATTTGATTGATGATTTAAAATGCCAGGGGATCAAACGTCTGTGGACTTGTATTTTGACTTGTTTTGAGCTATATTTACGGACAATTTCAAATTCCAATTTTTTTTCTTTAAATATCAATAAAATTTTATTTGTTGGGCCAAAAAGTGTCAAAATTGTATACAAGGTTACTGATATATTGCTAAAATAGCAGTTAAAAAATATTAAAAATACATAGGCACATTTTTTTTTTTACAAATTATAAGTGATAGGTTCGCTCCGATAACTCTAAAATCCCTGAGGACGTTGAAAAGTCTAACGTTTTTGCCGAACACCTTGCTACAGTATTAAAACCAAATATTATCTAAGCAAATCCCTAGCACTCTTCCAGAGTATATGAGTTCCTAGATAGCCCACTACCAGTTTCTGTCTCAATTCGAGACTTCTTAGACCATTACTCCGCTCAAACCTCTCATTAAAAACCAAAAGAACAATCTACATAGCTCTTCGATGACCCATGTGGTACTATGGCGTTCAAATTTGGGGTTCTACCAAACCGTCAAATACCAAAACAATTCAGGCATCCAGTCTATATGTCTTCGATTAATATCAGGTGCCTCCAGCTGGTATATAACCAATGAATCACTTTATAAAGACATCTAAATTCCAACCTCAAATAACCTCGCTATGATCAACTATAAAAAAACATACAAAACATACAGCACTCACTCAAATCCTATAATCACTCAACTATCATCCAAACAATTAACAAATCCCAGGTAATCCGCCCACTGCACCCAGGCTCCTGAAAAGGAACTGGTGTAGGGACCGACTCTCTCTTTAAATAGATTTCCACTGGGTGCCACCATTGGGTGACTTCCCCCTCTCGCTAATCAACCCACATCCCATTCACTTATTGTTCTACATGTAAATTACAGATTGTAAATATAAATTTTTGTTCAACAAAAAAAAAGGTATTAAGTAAAAGTTCGATTTTCAACTTTTATCAAATTTAAAATTTAAAAATGTATAAAATGTTTAACTTTAATAGCTTAGGATTGAAAACTTACAACAAGGTTCCACTTCACTAGTTTATACTGTAACAAAAAAATTTTAAAAATATAAACAGTTTTTAGATTCCGAGTGAAACGATGAATGTATTGATTTACAATGATGTGTGTCTTATTTTTTTATTTATTTTTGTGTCTGTCATCACGGTTCGGGGCAGTAAAACTGCTTCGATTTTCTTCAACAGTATCTTGTTCGATGGGAAAGTGAATCTAGCTGGTGCATTCGGGAGGTCAAATTTTAAAATTCCCAATAGTTTTCACAAGCGCCGGGAAAAAACAACATAAAAATTAAGGAAAAACTGGAATTTTTACGCAAAATCGGTTTTTCAAAAATCGATTTTGGTTTTTGGTGTAACTCTAAAACAAATTAATACATGCAATTTTAACTGGTTGTTTATATTTGCGTTTTCTATACACGATACAATTTTCGAAATATTATGATTTGTTTTTAGTTTTTTTTCTAAAAATATCAATCAAATTTTATTTTTTGATTAAAACAGTTTGAAAATTTAATAAAAGGCTCCTAATATATTGTCTCAAAGGTAGATGAAAAATATTAAAAATCCTTAGTCACAGTTTTTTTAAGTCAAATTTAAAATTGAATAATTATTTTGTAGTTAAAAATGTTCAACTTTTATATCTAAGGATTGAAAATTTAAAACAAGATTCCACGCGTTAGTAGTTTATTCTGCATGTTACCAAAAAATCTAAAAAATACAGGACGGTTTATTTTTATAGTCATTTTAAGTTCAAATTTGGACGAAATTACATAATAATAAATCTAGAATAACTTTTTTAGTTATTTTGTTGGCTGTCTACATCTTTGGCTCCCAAATTCCCAATTCTCAAACGGTTAAATACTTCGGTATAATCCTAGATCGTAGGTTAAACTGGGCTCATTATATAAAATCTAAACGTCTAAATCTTAATGCTCGTTTTCGTTTGCTCAAAATATTTACTAATAATAACAGTATAACACACACATTAACCTAAATACAAAACTATTTATCTATAAATCCCTAATAAAACCAGTATGGACATATGGCATCCAGCTATACGGTAATGCAAAAAAATCTAACCTTAATAAAATCCAAACCTTCCAAAACTTAGCCCTCAGGAAACTGCTCAATGCTCCACCTTACGTCTCGAACAGCACTATCCAGTCTGACTTAAAAATGAAAACTGTCCAGGAAGAAGCTAAAGCACATTATAAGCGTTTTCATAACCGTCTGTCCTCCAACAGTAATCCGCTAATCCCCGCGATCTCGCAGTCCAGACCATTCCTTGCAATTCTCCTAGGCGTCTAAAGCGCAAGTGGTGTTGTGACCTTCTCACCCCCTCCATCCGAAATTGAATAATAAAAAAAAAATAATAATAACAAAAAAAGAAATATATACCCATAGTGAGTGTCATTGATGGATGGCTTCACAAACCGTGTTATCATGTAAATATATATGTTTATGTTAGTATGTACTAATGTAAATTGTATATGTATTCACACTCATCGCATGTACTTATTGTGCCTCATAAGTATAGATTGTACATTTCAAATAAAGGAAAAAAAAAAAGTTATTTTGTTGTGATTGTATAATATTATTCGTGGGTACTTGAAACTTCTAAAGTACACTATTATATGTATATGATAGTATCAGGGTTTGTTGTTGATGTATAACGCGTTATAAGTACCTAATGGATATTGTGATATGATTAATTTGGAATTTATTATAGGTCAATTTTTTTTAATACCATAGATAAGTATATAATATGTCTTATACCTAGACTGACATACCGTCTCGGCTCAGAAACGTTTTGATAGAAGGAAAAAAAAGTCCCGGGAAAAAAGTATCAGAAAAAAAGTCTCGGGGGTGAAAAGTCTGTTTTCTAAAGATAATATCTAATAATTATGTAATCATATAATAGGTAACTACTAAACACAAAACAGAAAATTACATTACCTGCATAACATAATTATAAAAATCCTAGTTCTATAAATTGTTATCGTTGTAACTTTTAAAAATTATTTTAATAAATACAAAACAGATATTAAACAAAAATAATAGCTCTTAATTATAAAATTATAAAAAAATATCTCATTGAAATATTGAATCTTAGTCAATAATATTATTAAAAAAATATACATAGATGTCTATACCACTAACTTAGATGTCAGAATAGAAAAAAAATATTACATAATTATAAAAATCCTGGTTTTGTAAATTGTTATCGCTGTAACTTTTAAAAATTATTTTAATAATTTTATGAACTTTTTTTGCCCCGAGACTATTTTTTCGTTCCCCAACAGATCAGCACGCTGCAACACTGCTTGACGGTAAAATGATTTTATCTGTAATTCTATCTATAATCTAAAACTTAAACCGTTGCAAGTTGTGTACAATAATTTTGGTTATAACCAAGAAAATATTCTTTTATTATCGATGGTTATAAGTGTTATAAGTTATAACCAATTTCAAATTTGTTTTGAACATAATCATGTTATTTAAATTCGACAATTTGTATAAATAATCAAATAACAATATAATTGATAAGATATTAAAAAAAAAAAAACCTTTTTTGTATCATTTATTAAGTTTGAAGTTATAGTTATGACTTATGAATTTCATATTCATTATATCACACGGCTCTATAATTCAAGTAAAAAAAAAAAGCGGGAGGGGGGGGGGGGGGTAATCGCCCCTACCACCCCTCACTGGATCAGAGCCTGATCGTCACATTGTTATAGTCATTACCTAATACCTACTTTTAATATAAGCTTCAAGCCTTTTGTAAATGTTTTCTGTTATTTTTTTCAACAAACCTACAATAATATTTTCATAAATATTTTCAAATGGTTCATTGATTGTAGTTTAGCAATAACTTTCTGGCGGCTAATGTACTAACCAAATCGGATAGTCTTAAAACTGGATACAACTGATTTTTAATATTGTTGGTTAATTAATTATAATACAATATGTCAATATACAACATACCTAATAACATGGTCATAATATTATTATTATTATAAACGTATGGTTCGACTATGAAGTTATTGTAATATTGTACCAACCAATAATGGTAGTTTTTAAACTGTTTCATATTAAAATACATTAATTATTAGTAATATCGTCAAATGTTCAGAAGGCAGGCACGACCCATTCATATTAAGCCAATCTGGTGTGCTACGGCAAACTAGCACACCTGGTCAGTCCGACCCAGAATACACACATTGTAAAATCAATACATTCATTGCTCCGCTCAGAATCAAAAATATATAGTACATAAATTATACTATCTTACTTCTTAGTCATACATATAATATGTTTGTAGGCCCTCTTTATCAACTTAATGTTCATGGTGTCCTAAGAACCACCCACAATACAGTTTCTATGGAACTGGTGCTAGAGTTATATCAATAATTGTACACAGGATAACAATCAACTAAAAGCTCATCTAATATTAATATTCTAGTAATTTAACTTTAATGTTTACATTCTTGATGTTAAATTTAGCAAATTTCAGGAAAAAATGAGTAAACAAGGAAGCGAAAAGAAAAAAGAAATAAATTCTAAAGATGACAAAAAAACAAAGAAGCAGACACCAACAACAATAAAGACACGGAAGGAGGGTAAAAAGTCAAGGAACTTGGTAGATGTGTTCAATGAATGCGCTATGGATAATGCTTACCATACGTGTCACAATGTACAAGATCTGCTGAAGTGCCGAGGTTTTCCATGGCCACAGGCGCAAAAGAAGAAGAAAAAGAAAGGTGGCAAAAAAGGCAAATGAGAATAAAAATGGGTCAGTAAAAATGCAATAAAAATATGTTATTGACTTTTTGTAATAAAAAAATATACATTACATTTATGTTTACATATCACTTTTCCTAAAAAAAAAAAAAATAATAATAATAAAACTATACACTGTGACAAAAGTATGACTTTAAATCAACTTGTACAATACACATGAGTAATATAATACAATATGAATGCAATATTACTTATAAATAATAAAAAAAAACACTAAGCAGATCTGTAATAAACAAGCCTGGCGTCATTTTGGCCGAATTGTTTTTAGATTTTATTTTCTCTAAATAATCGTTTATCACAGACAAGTCAACTAAAATGACGCCGAAACATTATTGAAATGAGCAAATTCAACTAGATCATTAAAACAAACAAACAAAAATAATAATAATAATAATAATAATAATAATAATTATTATAATAGTAGTAGTATTAATAATAATCAGAGAGAAGTAAAGAGAGCAGGTATCTTAAATTATTTAAAATTACAAAAAAATTAGTTATTATTATTTTTTTTTTAAAATCAAATTTGGTAACTGCATAGAAAGATGATAATTTTGTTTGTAAAACAATTTATAAATTTAAATAAATATGTTAAATTCGTTTTTTAAGCTCAGTAAGTTAATCCCTGTCATTTTGCACAGCCCATATAATTGGTTCATTTTTCTTAAGTAAAAAAAAAACATTTAAAAGATAATAATAATAAGATGAATGATGAAACACATTAAATCCTAAAATTAACTTAAAAATAGTTTAATTTTAAAAGAGATAAATACAACAGGAAAAGAGTGTGTTAGAATTTGGGAAGGGGTATTAATTTATGAAGAACAGGGAACTAAAATATTAAAATACAAAGACAATTTTGGTAACTAAATAAAGCTTATGTTCTAAGGGAGGCATAACACCTCAAACTGAGCTTTTTGTCACAAATAAAAGTGTTGCAATATAAAAGCTGAAAACAAGCTATACTCAGTACAATATGTGGCATATCTTATTTTAATGAACATTATTTTATTCTTAATTTTTTTTATTTATCATCTTATTCTAGTTTTCATCATGATTAAAAACATTTTGTTTCATATTTATGAAATTTTTATAGGTTTTTAACTTCTCTACTTACACACTATGAATGCTTTATTCAAACTATTAAAATGGCTTTAATTGAGCATTCATTAATGTCCCACATATACCAAAAGTTCAACCATCACAGAATTTTCTAAGTTCAAACATAAACAGCACCTTGGCCATCATTATCATCCAGACTAATTCTGGATGGACCACCGCCATCATCAAAAAAACGCCTGAAGGTGAACTCAAAGAATCCATGGAATGGACGATTACCATCAGAATCAGAACTCCTATTATCCGGATCAGAAGAATCAGAGTTCTGAAGACGTTCTGGATCAATAGGATCAAAGTTAGATGTGTCAGTTGAAAACTGTATGCGTGGCACATGTGGAGGATTATGACGTCTCATTCCTCTCTCAAAATCTATATCTTGGAAGAATGGATGAATTTTGACTTCATCAGCATTCTTACCCAAGCGGTTTTCTTTACAAGTGCACAACTTTAGTATAAGATCAGCACCTTCTGGTGATAGGTTAGCAGATGCTGGTATTTGAAGAGTATTTTCCCAATGAATAACCTGCGAAAAATTAATTAAAATAATTGCAAAATATCACTTCATAGTTTATAAACAATGGTTTAGTTACCTTGTATTGAGTCTCAGAGGGGGTGTTGGCAAGAAATGGAGGCGATCCAACCAACATCTCATAAAGAATGACTCCTACACTCCACCAATCACATAATTGTGTGTAACCTGTTCGAAGCAATACTTCAGGGGCAATATAGTTTGGCGTTCCAACCAAAGAATGAGCTTCACACCTTTGATGTTCTCGCCGACGTCGCCTCTCTAAAGGTTTTAACTGGTGACACCTACACTCTGCACCATTTACACCCCACTCTTCACCACCACCCATTGAGTCTTGTCTACAGTGCTCACCTAAAATAGACATGACTGATTAGAATTTTACTTTTTAAAATCTTTAAATATTTACCATCTTGGTAATATTTTGAATTATGAGTCCATCTGAACCCAGTACACAATCCAAAGTCGGTGAGTTTAATGTGACCATCTCTATCAATCAATATATTATCTGGCTTGATGTCTCTATGGATAAAACCCATTTTATGGACACTCTCTACAGCACAAGTCAATTCAGCAATATAAAACCTATAAACAAATATCATTATTTAGTTAATAAGTAAAGATTAATCATTGTCAATTAAAATAGAGATTAAAATGAAACAACTCACCTAGCCAAATGTTCTTCAAATATTCCCAGTTTGATTAACAATGACATTAAATCTCCACCAGGAATATAATCCATAACAAAGTATAAGTATTCTCTATCTTGAAACGAATAATATAGTTTAACAACCCACTCATTATCGGCTTCTGCAAGTATATCCCTTTCAGCTTTTACATGGGCAACTTGATTACGCTTAAGTACATGTGCTTTTTTCAATGTTTTCATGGCATATAAATGATTTGTATCTATTTTCCTAACTAATGTAACCTCACCAAAAGCACCAACTCCAATCGGTTTGATTTTTATAAACATTGTTTTGTCCATTTTTGCTCGTTTAAGACGTATGTAATTTGATTCTTTTTGTGATAACATTTTTCTCATTTGACACTGAGCTTCTTCACTCAAACCTATTTTAACCATTTCTGTCTCGAGCTGAACACGTCTAAACACTCTTTGTTTATGTGACTTGATAACATTTTCTACATGTTGTTCCATGAAGAATTTAAATGCTTGAGGAGAATAATTTTTTACTTTACACTCCCGTCTTTCTTCTTCTTTCTCCTTACTAATAAGTTTGCGCTCTGGAATAGGGGACTGGTGATCAATTTTTGACTGATTCTCATCTTCTTCATCATGACCGTTAGTAATGCCATTATTATTATTATTATTATTATTATTATGAAAAGGATGATGATAGTTCATGCAGTTCATCATTTTGTTTTTAGCCACAGATGATGATGGAATAGGTGGTAATGGAGGAGTAGGTTTCCTATGTTGATGATCCTCAGCATATGGTGGTGGTGGTGGCAATGGATTAGTAATTACTCGATGGGCAGCCAGCGCTTGCATAGTACTTGCATAGCTAGGAGGTTCAGTTGTTGGTACAACTGATGGGGGCGAAGACAATGACGCTTGTTGAGGTTGTTGAACTGCTTTTTGAGCTTGTTGTTTTTGTTGAATAGATGATGCATAAGACGGTGGTGGAACTGGGGAGGGAGAAGTAGGTGCTGGAGCTTGTGGTGCAACAGCAGTTTGAAGTACAGGTTTTTGGACTAAAGTACTTCGTACAGATTGCATTATAATTGGTGACTGAGTTTTAGTTTGTCTAGCTCCCCAAGCTAGCAAAGGTGTAGGTCGAGTTAAGGATGACATACTTCCATTTGTTGATCCAGATACAGGACTAGATGACCCTGCATTTGAAAACACTCCTGAAGAAGGGGATTTCCGGTATTCTTGAATTGATACAGAGTATGAGGGTGGTGGTAGTGGAGCTCCAACTATTGGATAAGGTGGGGGTGGTTCAGCAGCACTAGTCATACTTAAGACTTGCATCTGTTGAGATAATTGTTGCTGTGCTTGAGGACCATTTTGAACTACCATCGGTGAACTACCTCTTTGATTGGAACTACTTGAAGTTCCTGGTGTAGGTGCAGGTGGTCGTGAAGGAACAGCAGGGGCTGGTGACATACGCTTAAGCAATTGTTGCATGTGTGTCGGTACATGAGGAGGTGGTGGTGTACTATTGTTCCTAGGCGGGGGTGGTGGAGGAGTTTCTGAATACGCAGAAGGAGAATATTGGCGCGATAAGGGTGGATGAGAGTGAATGACTAGATCAGGTTGTCTTGGACTATCTGACCTAGAGCTTCCTGCACCACTATCTTGGCCAGGACTACTCCTTGGTCCAACTCCACTTCTTTCTAAACTTGATTTTCTGATCAATTTATTACTACTACATAGTCCTGTAAAATAAAAGTATAAATAAAAATAGAGATTGAAATTTATAAATTATAATATTATAATATTATACTAATAATTAAAATAATGATATTATTACCTGATGAAGATTTGCTACATCCGTTGGACAGATCACATTGCTGTTGTTTAGCTAAAAAATCTAGAGCCCCTTCAAACCGTCCTCCAGATATTGTAAGTGCTCTTAATGATGCTTCCTAAAAAAAAAATTAATTAAATTAGAATAAATTTATATCAAAAAGTATAGGTTATGTCACCAATCTCAATTAAACAAAAATGATATATTATGAATTCAATTTCAATATTTATTTCTTTGGCTCAAGACTAAAAAAGCTTATTTTAAATAAGCTTGACTAAATTTGTATAAAATAATCTCGAAAATAATTAATAAATATCAATATATCATAATGGTTAACCAAACATTTAATTATTCACTATTGAGTTAACTAATAAAAAATGTTTCATACATTTTAGTCTTATTTAAATCATAGCTTACTAAGTAAATTAAGTAGTTATCATATATTTTCTCAAAATGGCTTAATAAAACAATTAGTAGGTAATGGCTATAAGCTCTATTTTATTTTGTTCTCGTATACAACACAACTATTATTAGGTATAGTGTTAAATAAAATGAACAATATAGACCAGAAAATGTTATGATTAATATTTATGTCATACCTAAGATCAAGCCTAAGATATTAAACTGCTTCTAGTCAGATTCAAATAATTACCTATTGCATAATCTTACTGCACTCTCATACATTAATGTTTTATTGTTAGGTATTATTTAAGTGTTAAGTCATTGTACAAAATGAAAATTAAACATGAGATAAATTTTCAATTTTAAACCATAACATTAACCACCTTGTAAAATAAATACAAGACATTCTAACTACAATATGTAGTAATATTTTACATTCAAATAAAACACCAACACCATTTTAAGTATTCAAATTTTCCAATAAAAATTGATTTTATAGAGCAAAATAAAAAATAAAATATGTGAAGGAAATTTTTTTACTTTTATGTAAACTGTAAAGCGACGTCACGCGATAATAGTTATGTGTGATACTAGAAGCTGTCATGATAATAAATTGTGATAGCAAGTTGTAACAACTAACTGTAGGAAAAAACAATCGTCGTGTGGACATTGGATAATATGAAAGTTACTTTCTTACAATCGCGATACGGCTATCCATAATATATTTCCCCAACACAAGCAATAGCTTCCGGGGGATGAGTAACCTCCTCTTCGAAATTTAAATATTGTTGGGTAGAAAATAAACTATTAACTAAACTAACATGCATGCATATGCATCGTGCATGATAGTTGATTAATGATTTCACGATAGCAGTTGTGGTCAAACGGTGGGAGGGGGGATGGATCCCCATGACCTTTTCCGTAAATTCACTACCACTATTATTATTTTTTTTAAAAAATAGCGGTAGTAAAGATATTGATAGTGGGATATTTTCGATTTGCGGAGCGGAGCGACGGCGCCGAGGATCGCAACGACGAGTGCAGAATACACGCGTAATCACTGCAACTTTGAAAAACCGAAAAAAAAGTGGTGGTAGTGAATAAACGGAAAAGGTCCAGAAGTTTTTTTACAAAACTGTAAAATATAATATGTTACAAAATTGAATCTTGCTACGTTTCTTTCTTATATATTTTATGATGTCGTTTTGTTTCTCTTATATATTATTGTACTGTATTGTATTTTAAACTTTAACTGGTTAGTATAATGCGACTGATTTTGTGTTCTTATTTTATATTTTATTTTATATACTTATTGAGACATTTTTTTTGTTTTTGCGAAAGGATGTACCTATCCAAATCTTTTTGTTTTATTCTAATGTTGCTATTTAAATTACTATTATTACTACAGTTAACTCTCTACTCCATCACAAGCTTAGGCCTAGAGGAGTAGATAATATATTTCTTTATTTATACAATTTATTGCACATATAAATAAAATATAATAAATAAAAAATCTTTAACATAATAAATATATTCCGATTTAAGTTTCAAACACAATATCGGGCATTTGCGCACCCTGGCTGCGATGACAAGCGTGATCAAGCACTTTCCTCGTGTTAATAATGTGTTTTGAGTACTAAAATGCTTTGCTCGATTAAAGACGCACCATGATTAACATTGAATAAAACAAATTTCGTTAGACTTTAATCATTTAAAATATCAAATCGAAAGAATAACGGATGATAAAAATAAAATCAGGTGCTGCCATGAAAAAAAAAAAAAGATACCACTCATTTAAGATCCGTCCATGTTTATAAAACACCTTATCGTAGTAGGTATAATTAAACGTTGTGTTTACGTATTTTTTTGGTAATTTATCAGTTCTTCACCATCTATCACAATATTATTTACTATCCCCATCGAACTTCGCTAGTGTGAACAAATATGACACTCGTGACAATAACTGTAATTGTCATGATAGCTATGGCACAGGCACATACAACTTTCTTATGTGACCAAGGTTTGACCCTTGGAAACGTGAATAATATGTAAGATCGTATTTTTCAAAAGTCAAAAATGCATACAAGATCAAAGGAGCAAATACCATTTTTAATTTTTTTATGGTAAAATATTACCAATGTGTAATATTATTGATCAAAATAAAAGGTATTTTTTAATTCAACACCGTTGACAGATAATCGATCAATTTTACTGTTATTGCAGCAATCGTCTATTATTATCTATAAAGCAGTACTCTCAAAACCTAAAATGTAGCATTACTGTAATAGCAGTAATAATTCCAATGGTTTCTTATGAAAGAGGAAATTGTGTTGCCCACATTAGGCAAATGGGGCATTCGGACACTGCCAATTTAAAGCGATTTATTATAGATAGTTATTTCCATTTATTTAGAAGTTCATAATATAGTGTCACATGTAAGCATGCCTATGGAACAAAATGCTGTTTACGACTGTCCGTCAACGTGAACTGATTCTATCCAACGTTGGTAATATAGGGATAATAATAAGTATCGGAGAGTTAAAAAAATCATTATAGACTATAATAAAATCTATATTAATAAGTTGGTATTAACCAATTAGTCTAAAAATAAATGGATAAAATACAAACAATTAATACATATGATTGCAACCGATGTCAGTCATATTGTAATGGTGTGGACGTGTGGTGTTTCAAATCATCTAACGTACTCGTGTCGAAATTACTGAATGAGAACAGCAATCTTTTAAAATTAATACAATTTAAATTTAAATTTTACGAGAACAATTTAAATTGGCCTTATTTTAGCATCTAGATGGAGTTTGTTCATCGGGTTAACCAAGAATATTAATGATGCCTAGTGAAAGTAGCACGATAATATTGGGTTGGTCCCCTACTTGATCTAGAAAATTTAATTTCAATTTAAATCAGTATAATTTTTGACCATAATATCATGTCCGCATAAAATGTCGCGCAATAATAACTAATAAGCAGTTCTAATCCAGGACTAAAAGCCAAACATTAAACACGAACGTACCAAAATACCCAATTTCATACACACGGACCGATATATTTTTATAATCAAATATAATTAAACTCGAAAAACGTGTCTATACTTTTGCAATTACACGGACCGGTTTCGTCTATCCTTCTTACTCGATCAATCATAAGACCAACAAAGATAATATTATACATACTTCTACAAAGTACAAATTCATGGGAACATTGAACATAATTACCTTACCGGGGTTCCTCAATATACATAAAAAAACCGGAACTATTATAAAATGTTTTATCTCTCTTCTTACAATAAAATCATAAAAACCTGTTTGGTCTTAACGGGGTTTACCATTTACATTTTTCAGAATTTGTAATGCTTTTGTGTAAACTACAATAACTATCAAGTTGGTATTTTGACAAATTATGATGAAATTTTCATTAGGTATAACGAAATATTTTATATTCAAAAATAAATAAATATAATATAGTATAGTAAGTATATAAATATCGTGAATTGAACTTACTGGAATGCAGTGAAAATACAAAAAATATTAATATTACGTAATAACTAATACCTTATATAAATGGAGATAAATTCAAAAATTATTGATGTAAGGATTAAGATGAATATTTTTAAGATTGTGATGCGTTCAATTTTTTTTACGTTCGAAAGGTCTCACAGTCTCATTTCAGAGGATTAGGACAAGGTCACTTACACCTTTTTATTGGATCTTACATTCCAGAGACATGTGTTCATGCCTCGGTTCATGCAATCATGTGACAGTGGTTACTAAAGTAAATAATGAAAGAATCCATAGAACTAATATCTATTTCGAATTGGTAGATTAGGTTAGGTTACTTTCTACATTCCTACACTTTTCAGTTTAAACAAACAAACTGGAAATGTATAAAAAAAATATACATGTATATACATAATATTTATGTTTGGTATTTACTTGATGAATGAATTAATTTTATAATATGTTGTTTTTAGTGTGAATCTTTTTAGCAGAAAAAATGCTTTTATATTCAGCTTCAATACCTTTCCTGATAGGAAATTGAATCTAGTCGGTACTTAGGGAAGAGAAAAGGGGTCAATAGTAAAAAATTATAAGTAATTTTCTTAAAAAACGGAAAAACAACAAATAAACTACGAAAAAACAGATATTTTTACGTTAAACAAGTTTCTGAATAATTGAATTTCATATTTTGTTGTTATTAAAAAACAAATAACCGTAAATACTTGAAATTGCCACCAAATGTTTATATTAGAATTTTATGTACATGGTATAATTGAATACAAGGTTTCCCTCATAAGTTGTTACTATAGCTATTTAAATTATTATAGATAGTGGTGATTATACACAATTTTTTTTTTTTTTTTAAATCAGTTAAGTTAAAATGTTGACAAATGTTGTCGACAAAATGCATTAAAATCACGAAAATTTGAAATCTTTTGTAGTTGGAAATTTATAAATTGTTCTCATTTAATTTTATAGCTAAGGCTTGAAAATATTATTTAAGGCCCTTTATAAGTAGTTCATTATGAAACAAAAAAACCTCAAGAAATATATAATTTTAATATCACAATTTTTTATTATAGACAGTTTTAGTTCAAATTTGGACAAAATTAGATAGTTAAACAAAGAATAACTACTTCAACTATTTTGTTGTAATTCAAAAATATTATTTATGAAGACTTGAAACCGAGCTTGAAAC